ATATTGTCCAAGATTAACCTTCAGGGTGGATATAGCTTGCACACACCACAAACCTATCCACATCATCATTTACCCAGAATGCTTAGTGTRTAAATAAAATGGCTCCATCCGTGTTAAAATATGTTTTAAAAACATTAACTGAACATCCTACAGTATTTTTATAGTTTTTATTTTGCAGTTAAAATATACAGTATGTTGATCAAATAAAAGACTAATGTTACAACTAATCGGGGATCCCTTTAACAACAGTGAAAAACAATTTTTTTATTTATTAGTTTCTTTAATATAATTTTTTTGCCTAATTTATGCATCTTAGTTGATCCTAAAATTATGTTGAAGTTGATGTTTCAAAATTATAGCTCTTAAGAATTTAATGTAGTCAACATAAAAAGGACAATTGTTTTTTGTTAAATTCTTGGTTCTTTATGCAGCTGCCTATGACAAAAGACTGACTTGTGTGTTTTATATTAAAATACACATTCCTTAAAACAAAAATTATTGACAGAACATCATTTTTTATTATTATAAGATTAAATTTTCACCCTATTTGTTACATATTTGAATAAATGAATCTTACAGAACCTGACTGGGCAGTAACTGACAGYACCGAACCACAGGGGCTGCTGCTGTCAGCTGTCTGACATCCATAAGGATCAAAACTGACAAAGTTAGACGTGTTGCTTCCTGGAAACTAATGAGTTGGATTGCACACAAACCAGGGTGTATTACAGCATGTCCAGGTTTAGATTTTAATTGTACTGGTGAAATCTCCTGATAGGGAAAATWAAATAGAAAGCAGAAAAAGTTGCCATTAAAAAAACTTACAATGGCAGATGGTCAATATATTTGTCCAAATGACCAGCCCTAGCTGCTGAGACGGTTGGAAAGAAACTAAGGTGATGCAACTTTTCCACCTCCAGGTGCATATACCCTCATTTTGACCCAAGGGCAGCAGGAGGGTTAAACAGTTTAGCTTTCACAAGTTAAACCCAAACCTGCAGATTTCCATTGTGTCGGTGAGGTGGTCTTTCTGGATGTAGAGCTCCTTCTCATCCTTCAGCAGACAGATGACATCTTTCAGCTCTATCACTGTGTCCTCACTGTCGGCCACAWCCAGCTGGTAGCGAATGTAAAGCTTCCCCACCTGTTACCAGTTGATAGAAATTAGCCAGCTATATGCAAAGTCCAAATTAACATGAACTGTTTTATGGAACTAAACCCAGCTGCAAAAGCAGGACAAACAATGAAGCCTTTAACTTAAGAAGACGTTCATGTTCAGAAAGCTTCAACAGTTCAACTTGTATTCCTTCAGAGACTATGTTTACAAGAGTCTAAAGTCTCTAAGTGTGACCGTCTCACCTGTCCAAATTTAAGGTGCTTAATTTTCTCTGCTATATTGTTGTAAACCAGCTCTGAGTAGACTTCATTCAGCTCGTCGTGGTTTCTGAGGAACCTCTGGATGTAGGGGATGACTGAGCGCACTATGGTCTGCATGGACGGACAGGGCCTCAGGCTTTCAGTCTGCGGCTCAGATTTCACACAKTGAGAAAGCTCTTGTACACCACAGATCTTCCTCAAAAACACAAGTCTGTCCCTCTCATTGAAGGAAGGCATTGTATCTTGCTCTCCTACCACTGCGTGACCTGCAGGTAACCATGCATCGAGTCAGAACCTTCTTCATTAACAACAAAAAAATGCTTTAAGGTGGACAATTTGTGAAAAATAAAGYAGAAGTGTACCAGTCCTGCTCTTGGGGATGGCCTTCTTCTCTGGTGGTGGCAGGTTGAGCAGACAGACGTTCTTGTAGGCTTTGAAAACCTTCTCCAGCTCTTTATCATCACTGATCATGGGCTTACGTGCCAGGCTTACCCAGCTGTTATCTTTGGTTGGGAAGACCTTCTTGTCAAACACCATCCCTGGACACAAASCAAGAAGGCAAACTAAGTTTCAGACTTTTAATATGTGACGCTTCCTTTTCATGTAGGAGTAAATAAGTCTTACAGTATAAATTTTAAAGACAAACAGACAGATTATGTACTCAGTAACGACCTTTTAGACATAAAACTGGTGTTTTACTGCCTCAAATTAATGTCACCCTCAACCTTATTTTGCTGCCTTACAATCTGAAATTTATAAAACAATGAACATTAATCCATCCATCCATCCATCCATCCATCCATCCATCCATCCATCCATCCATCCATCCATCCATCCATCCATCCA